TGAGTGAACTCATCAAGATTATCAGGTACTCCTCCTCTCCTCTCCTCTCATTTCCCTTCTCTCCTCTCCTGCTCTTCCTTTTCCTTTCTTTTCTCCCATTCCATATCCTTTGTTCTCCTCTTCTTTCATTTCCTTTACTTTCTCTTTATCTCCTCTCCTAATCTGTCATTCCCTTTCCTTTCCTGTCCTATTCTTTCTTGGATTTTCTCACTCTCTTCAGTTTTTATCTCCTTTCCTCTTATGTTCTTTCCTTTATTTTCATCACTCTTTTCCATATCTTCTCCTCTCCTTATCTTCACTTTCTTCTCTCCTGTCCTTTCCTCCTCACATCACCTGTCCTTCCAAATCTCGTCTTCTCCCCTTTCCTGTCTTCTTTACCTTTCTTTCCTCTTATTTCCTGTCCTTTCCATCTCCTCCCCTCTCCTCCTCACCCTGCTATGTCCTTGTCTCCCCACCAGGAGGCGCCTCCAGCTAAACTCCAACCAGGCCTTCTTCCTGCTGGTCAACGGCCACAGCATGGTCTCTGTGTCTGCTGCCATCTCCGAGGTCTACGAGCGGGAGCGGGACCAAGACGGCTTCCTCTACATGGTGTACGCCTCCCAGGAGACCTTCGGCACTGCCACCAGCGCCCAGTGAACAGCCCCCCTTCCCTTTCCCCCTGCCAGGCCATCGGACAATTGGTAGTTTTTAGCCCCCTCCACGTTTCTCGCCACATACCTTTAGCCTCGACTGTAGGAACTAAAACACAAACGGCCATATCTAAACACAGCGTAAGATCATTTCCCAGCTCGAACCGGTTCAGGTGGTGATTGAGTAGACCGTTGGTGTCCCACCCTCCCAGTAGCATAAAGCCACAAGGGTCGACCAGAACAGCGAGTCCAAGTAGAGAAATCCCCCAAACTGATTACGACTCAGGCCAATAGAGTCTTTTAGTGTCTCTGCTTCTTCATTGTCCCCTCTGGTGGCGACCTACGGCCTGTTGACGGCAGTTCTTTTCATTGTTTTAGTGGTTTGGTGTCTCCTAGGCTGTATTTCTGTTAATGTATATATACATATACATATTTCAGGTAGGGATATTGCATAAAAGTGGTGAAGCTCCACCACGTACCTATATATACATTAGCCAATGAACAAAGCCAACCTTAATTTTAAGGTTTCTGGAGACAGGCGCTAGAGAAAGTTAAGGGTTTTTAATGCAGATTTTTATTGCAGTTAAAAGGTAAAACTAAGGGATTTGTAGTCGTACTTTTGCCAGAGAAAATTGCAAAATGAAGTAGAGAAGATCCTCGTTAACGAATGCATCTCTGCTGTGTGTCTCGTCACATTCCCCCCTCCTTCGGTGTTGTATCCCTCCCTGCCTCGTAGCCTAAAGCATCTTCACTGTAACAAAGAGATGTTAGGAAACTGCTTTTGCTCTCGAAAACAGATGATTGTAGTTTGCAAAAAAAGAAAAAAAAATGCCTTGGTGTACAGATAATATTTACAGCTTTGAATATAAAAGGGGTTCCAATGAGAGTGTAACCAAGTTGGCTTTGGACACACTACAAGGAGCATGGTCTGATTGCATGTGTGAATGGAGGATGATGGTGTTTCTGTAAATGCTGATGAGGGGAGGGGGTTGCCATGTCCTTTCCTTTTTATCTCCTTTGTCACCAGTATTTGTTAAGGTGACTGGAATGAAGGGAAGTCGAAACAAAGAGTGAGACTCGGGCAGGTTGACGAGCATCATGTCCATCTGCCTTTGACCTACAGGACCTTAAGGCCTGCGCTCTAAAAGAAAGAACCTGTCTGTCTATAGATGGTCCTCCACACTCTGTGCTGTCGTGCTTCTCCTCCTCCTCCTCCTCCTCACCATCTTCTTAACAGATCGTTTAGCTGCTTTTATATCGCAGTATTTTATCATTTTGGTTCTTTTTATTTAATGTGATTTTTATTCCATTGTACGCCATGTCTTTACTCTCCGCTGTCTACTGTATGTGAAGTACAAAGATGACTTTTTTTTCCTGACTAGTGAAAGCCACTGTGTGTTTGTTACAGAGGGGTGGAGCATTTGTTTCAGTGCTGTCTTTTCTGCCTGCTCCTCTGTCACACACACGTACCCACACACAGCAATATCATACAGCCTCCTCTTATGTATTTATGTTGGTATTTTGTAAACAATAAAAGGAGAAAAAAAGATCAATTGTGGTGTTCCTGTGTTATTCTGACCATGGGTGAACTGTAATGTTATCATGTTGCTCAATTCATAAATAACTCTCAGTACAAATTATTAAAGGACCTGAATGTATCTGTAGTTAGAGTCAATCAGTGTGAAACTCAAATCCACAGTTTTCATTAACAGTATATTCATTTCTTGCAGAGCTGTAATACTGTGCACAAAACCAAGTGACTGAGCTCTTCCAGATTTTTCTTATTAACATTAACTTTATGTACAGCTGAACATGGGAAGCTAAAAATGAATAAACACTGAGCTATTAGGTGTGATAAAAAAAATAATAGAAATCACATTTCCACTCATTTAATCTATCAAGTTAACTAAAGTCTGACTGTATAGGTTTAATGTACTCAGTCCACTTGGCCCAAATCTGGAAGAATTTTTCATTTTAGACTTTGAGGGAGAATGACAGCCTTTCCACAATTTTCATCTTTACTGAAAAATAGAAATCATGATGTAAGAAAACATATCAATCAATATACAGTATATATCAAGAGTCTAAAATTGCAGCCTCTTGGATTTGCATATTGCACTTGGCCACGTAGTGATTTCAATAATATTTTGATTAATTGTGCAGCCCTAATTTCTTGTTACTTCATTACGCTGCTTTTCTGTTGGGTGGTATTGCTCTCCATCGCATTCATCAACATGCTCAATGTGTAAATCCACACATGCAAAATATTGCACCGAGCCGCCAGCTGCATCCTTTCAGATATAATGTTGCATATTTCCTGGTTTCACCATAATTCATAATAATAATAAGTCACATCTTGTGCAACTTATCACGTTGTCCAATGTAGTTTATGGAAGCAACTCCTCTGCTATCTTTTGTCAAACACATTTACACAACAGAGGACAAAGCTGAGTTTTTCATACTAAACATGAAACAGACAGACATGGAGGGATTACAGGCCTCTCATACAGAAGGGAAGGCATGTTATAAAATACACTGTGGACAGACATGTAGTGGAGGGTTGCACAGTTCCAGTAGTACTATAATAATATAATAATATATTTCTTTGTGCATTATAAAGGCCAGGCTTGGGGAGTAACAGATTACATGTAACTGAGTTATGTAATCAGCATATAAAAAAGGTAACTGTAATTGTAAAATGTAATGAGATTACAGTTTAGTAAAAATGGGGATTATTAGCAAGATTACAATTTTAAAATACATCAGTTTTCTTTAAAAAAAACAATACCCTGAGCACACTGAGGACACTTTCTCTATGTTAAAGATCTTTCCATTTTCTGTTCAAAGGTTACATTCTGTTCTTTTTCATACATACATTCTTCCAAAGATACAGAATGTAATCAAGTTATATTACTTTAATATCGTAATACTTAACAGTACAGTAACTGTATCAGATTACAGTAACCCGAGTGAGGGGATTCATTTCCAATAATTGGTTCCGACATGAATTTGTTTTTGCTGTACTTTTATTTTTGCATTACTGTTACATTAAGGGACACACTTTGTGGATAGGGAACAACCCAGAAGGGTGAGCAGTGAAAATGTTCTCTTTATCTGGCTTTACTTGCATTCGGATGTCTGAGTAATAAAAACATTGACCACTTTTCAGCTTGTTAAGTGTAATAATGGAAAATAAATGAAAGGCAGGTTAATGGTAATGTTCTGCAACACTAAAGATGTGTCTGTATGTATATTTTAGCATTTTGAAACATCTATTCATACATGTGTAAATATGGGCCTGTTCCACTGTGCTCTGTAATTTTCTATGAATGAGAAAGGTGGTTTTTATCCTGACAAAATTACAGCTGTAATCGCAGTGTGGCTCCACTGGCTAATTTTAACACCAAAGTCCTCCGGTCCGCTGGTTCAGTTTTCAGATTTAGATCTCACTGTTTAGACAGAACTCGTATGAACTATTATTGGATTTGTATTCAGAAAATATATAAGGGATTATATATAAAGAGCAGATCTGTACCAGAATGGTGGATGGGGTTGTCGCTGTTTTGGTTCTCTGTGTTGTAGAAATAGAACATCTGCTGATGTTCATAAACAACAATTGAAAATTGATACATTTAAAGGGCAATTCCACCGATTTTACACATCAGAGTCCGTTTACTGGTCTCAGGGAGTATTGTGGCCCCTGAGGTCACTGTAAGAAATGTGAAATGCATCAGTTGGGGCTGAAGAAGTTCTATCTGGGGATGTGGAGTTAAAAAGAAGTGAACTTACCAGACCTCTGTAGTACTCTCCTAATCTCTGCTTGTGGCATCATTAGCTGTTACTAACATGACACACTGGGGTTGAGTTGCATTGTGGGAAACGTAGTTGCCATGTTTGACAAGGTAGAAGAATGCTTAGAATAAAAAACGATGATATATCTGGTTCCAATGCATCAATTTTGATAAAAAAAACATCATGAGTCTGACAATGTGACGCTAAATAATGAAGAGCTCTTCAATCCAATTCACTATAGACATTTTAACATGTCCCAGTAGGACAAGCACAGGCATAAACAGTAAGATGAGTGATGATGAATTCCATTTAGACCTTTGTGCCGTGGTTCGGGCTCTCACACAATTCTTTCAGGCTCAGGTCTGGTCTGACTTTTTGTGCCCGATTAAAGCTCTAATTCCATTTAGCTTCAGTTTCCGTCACACTGTCATTACTGCGACACTTTAATGTTATAAGTAACACCTGTGCCTGTCCTACTACAACAAAATGCCTGCTGTGAAAAAGGCTTTTTTGATTTGAGTTCTTTAAAGGGCTGATATTACCCTTTGACTTCATAAAGGAATCATTCGCACCATATGATGAAAGACAGAATCAGAAAATATTTTATTCAAACATGTTTTTCCCTCAATAAAACAAGTTTTGAAACACAATAAGCAATATAAAACCTGACCTACAACTCAACTGGATAATTATAAACTGTTCAAACATTCGCACACAAATATTTCAAAAGCACATTTTTACTAAAGATGAAGCAACATGCATGCCGGAGCTGGATTCAACCCGGCTACTGTGATTGTTACAGATCTAGACTGGCTTTAACTAAATAGCTCCAAAAAAACAAAAACAGAGCTCTCTGGGAGAAGGCTTTCTTTGGTGTGACCTATGGAGGCAGTTTTCTTGTACTGTGCAACCACTGAAGAAAATGTAGAAAGTGTTTTTATCTAGCCTTGTTCATACAGATCGTTGCACTGTTACACAAAGTTAAATGAACACTGAGCTGAACAAGCAAACCCCATATTTCTGTCAAAAGGCAATACTCCACAGACGTTTATATTACAATACAAAAGCACATTTTTGACTTATTCTAATCAACAGACAGAAGTTGTTATACATACTGAACATTCAGTATTTAGCATTTTAAATAAACACCCCTCATCCCTGTGCTGTGCCCTCCAGGGGCACAGATAGAGTTTCATCTGAAGGACCAGCTGTCCTCGTGTCTGTAAAACTCTGGGTCCTGCCCGGCAACTCACTCGCAGTCTGACACAGGAATACACTGTGAGACTTTTCCTACATACATACTTAGACTCTTTCAATTCGACAGTCCTGAATTTTCCTCTGCATAAAGATTGTACATGTTCATTACAAAAAACAGTCGGCTGCATCAAGAGAACATCCAGGCCGCTCAACATTCATTCATTCGCAAACATCAAACTGAAAAAGGAAAATGGCACTTTTGAAATGTCCACCCCGCTTGAATGAACACACAAACACTGGCGTGAAGTGAACATACAAACACATTCTGTACTCACTGAAAGAGATGTGGAAGTGTCTGAAAATATTCCGTTGCATGCATGATTGTCCTGCTATAGAGGGACAGTATTTGGCACTGGAGGCCATCTTGCTCTCAGGTTGGCTCTGAGGTAGAGAGGCTGCTATGGGTTTCTCCCCAGGCACTGGTGACGGGCTTTCATGGACAAGAGAGTGGATGGTGTGGCTTCCCTCTGTGACTGCCAGCTGCTGATTCCAGTTTCCAAGTGTGAGCTGTCCACACACACTTCAGAGTCCTAGCACAGGGGCTGGAGTCCAACACAGCCAACAAGGCCATTTCAGACCTTCTTTTGGAGGGTGTCCTCCAGCCGTCAGTATCTGATCATCTACAGTCAGTCATTAATGAAGCACTCAGATGATCAGTGCTGTGGTGCTCATTGATTACTAATACGTCACATGGATGAGGCCAATGAATCCAGGCAAATGTTGGTTTGAAACATCACAACTTGTTTTGTAATCCCTGGTATCTTTTTCGCCGGACTCTACACTTCACCAGCCTTTGAATGCCACATCATTGTCATTAACTTATGTAACAAGTTGGCATGAGAGTGCCTGAATGCATCATCTGTTTTGGTCTCTGTGGGACTGGGCAGCAGGTTCAGCAGAAACCTCAGATCCTGCAAAGGATCCACCTTCTAGAGCTGATTCCTTCGCTGATCGGGCCCTTGAATCAGGGGCACTTGCCCTTGGTATTAACATGCGTCTTTGACAGCTCTAACTACAGGTGACAGGACAGACCGCTCAAACCACATTCGGAGGTGGTCTAGGCTGTATGTGACCACATTACAGCAGTGTGTACGCAATGTGTCCACACTGAAGGACCGCCTATCCAACTGATGTCCTGTAAGTACACACGAAACACGCTGTCTGATTTCCATTTGGTTCACTGTAATGCAAGTGATGTGTTTGGGTTCTCTTAGCGGCTAAGATAAGCAGCAGATGTTTGTGAACACACTGTTTGGACTGATGAACTGGTAGCTGCAATATCCCCAGACTCCCTTGAAAAATCACACATTTTTGACAGTTGTTGAATGAGGAGAAACTTTATAAACTTTGTGAAACACTATCTCTTAAACACTATTTGGGCCTTCTTGCAAATTCAGCAAACGTTACACAATAACTCTGTTTGTCCCAGCATGTTGGCTGGAGCCTGGCAGGAGGCGAGCAAGATGCACACCATTACTTTCTCTGGCATTAATGCCTTTATTCTTCTATCTGTGATGTGAAAACATCTGGTTTCCACGTAGTCAGAGAAAGTAAAAGTGTGTCCTGCTCATTTAGTCTAATTATAATATCCCACTGCCACTTCCTGTCGGGCTGCTGTTAGTGCCGATAAAGCATCTAACTCAGGCTGATACAGAGTAGGAGTTTGCTGAACTGAAAAAAGGAACGTATAGTGTTCATTATTACCGTCCTTTTGGAAGATTTGACTGACTAACAAAATACAGAGTAGTGTACAGCCCTATAAGTGTTCATCTGAATTTGGAGACGCACTCTGCCAGGTGTGAAGAACTTAGAGCTGTCTACTTGTGATGGATCACCCAAGACGCATGTTAATACACAGCCAAAGGTAAAGGTAAAGGTACTCTGTGGAGTTTTCTTGTGAACAAACAAAAGTTAAATTTACATTAAAGTGCTTATTTGTTTGTATCTTTCAGGTCTAACTAACATGTTTCCTTCCACATTAAACAAAGACGACTGTTCAAAGATTTTAAAATTTGCCCTGTTTACATCCATATTTACCACCGACTGCTCCACAGCACTAGTGGTAAAACAAAACACCACAGGGTACCTTTAAAGTTTTTTCTTGGACTTGTTTTCCTCCTTTGCTCCTTTTAAAGGAGGATGACCGAGACAGTGTACATGTATATCTGAAAACTATCTGTGTCCACAAATCCTTAATACAGGTTTTGAGCATGTATTGTGTTCACCCTGGAAATATGACACAGTACAGTGAAAACAGTTGATATGCACACTAAAAACACATGGGCACTATTCTCCCACAATGCCATGCTGAAAGGAAATAGAAGAGCGGCTCACAGCTGCATAAAAACGTGTTGTGGATGGTAGTTAAACTTCTTGCCAAGATTAATTGGCAGTTGCATTCTGGAGTGACATGTTGATAGTTAGCATAAAACGGAAGTATGAAGGCTTTGAGTAGGGTGAGACGTTTTATACCAGCAGATTCAGTCACAGGGAAGATAACACTGCCGCTTCTTTGTGGGTTCAGAGAGATGGGTATATATCCAAGGTATCCAGTCTGTCACAAACAGGGCACTGTTTCATTAAGCTGGGTTTTAAGTTTAGACCCAGTATAAATCAGTTGAGGGAGTGGCCAGGATACTAATGAAGGCTCAGTCTCTTAGCTGGGAGGCAGATTGTGAGACTCTGGTTGTAATGCACCATGGCTGATTGTCTGGTTGTAGTGTTTCTTCTGAGCGTGAGGCAGACGTCCAGCTACGCCTCTGAAAGGACGCGAGGCAGAGCAGTGTTTGTGGAGATCTGAGGAGGGATGCAAGCTAATCTGTGACAGCCGCTCCTCTTTTCTCCTCTTCTCGCCAATCTGTCTACATTTTCTGTCTCTTTCCCGTCCTCCTCTCATCTCACTGTAAGCTGCGGTTAAAGTATTACAAAGGATACAAGGGGTCTGTGTCACCAGATCAACCGTCTTTGAACAGACTTGTGTCGCCTGCTTGTACCCAGAATCAGGCCGTCTGTCTGCTCATCCCTTATAAACTCTGCTAGCTTCAGCAGGAACATGAGGTACAGTTGGGTCAGGAGTATGACAGTTCAGATCCACTGGTGTTTCAGCTGCTTAGTCCCCAGAGTCCTTACTGTCAGAGTGAGGAGTGTATTTCAGTCGAAATGTCCCTGTGAAACACAACAGAGAAATACAGTTTCTGTGTGAAGCTTTACAATGCCTCAATAGTACGATCATAGTAAGACATACAGCAGTAGACCTTCTGTGCTTGATGAAAAACAGCCTATTCTTATGTATTTATGGATAAATTATAAGTTGTAGCACAGAAAAAAGATGAGTGGATTCTAATGTTTCTAAAGCCACACTGAATTGGGTAAACCAATTACAACAGGTGCTACTATTAACAGAGCTTGGACTGCATTTACATTTTTAGGTGACAAACTGCTTGTTTTTATGTCTCGAAAAGAAAGTGAAATGCAAACTGTATGTATAAAGGCATTGTAAGATGGAACACACGCATTAGTAAAAGGAGCTTAATTGATTATTATTGAAACACTGAAAAGGTCTATCAGGAAGTAATAACAGTCCATCTGTTCATTCGTTGACTCTTTGACTCACCTTGCTGTGCTGAATCCATGGGCGGATGTTTGCACTCCTCTGCTCTGTGCCCGTTGGCACCACAGTTATAACACGACAAGTTCCCAGCTGCCCGTTTCTGCCCTCCATTTCCCACAATGCCATGGGGCTGGTAGAGGGCAAAGCCCTGCTGCTGGTCATGTGACACAGGGCTGTGGCGGTAGAGGGGCGGTGGCATCATCATCGGGTAGGAGAAGGGCGTGGCTCCGGTGCCGGCGGCGTTGGATGAGGCAATCAGGGGGCTGAGATGGAGCAGAGGACCCAGAGTAAAGAGGGAGGGGCCGGCTGAGAACGGCTGCAGGTAGCCAGCTGCTGCGTATCCAGGCAACGCCCTATAGGTGCCGCAGTTCCCCCGACAACCGCAGGAGCTGCAGACACACACGGAGGGGGTGTGACCTGAACTTTGATCCAATGAAGAGGTTGAGGAGGGGGAAGGGGAGGGGCTAGAGGTAGGCTGGGGCGGGTAGTATGTGTTGCCCGGCACCGCAGCCACAGGAACACTGCTTGGGGTTGCCATGGGAACAAAGCCACCCTCACTACTGAAGCTGCCAGACTGTGAGCCAGACTTTGTGGAGGCACAGGAGGAGGAGGAGGAGGAAGAGAAAGAAGAGAAGGAGGAAGAGGAGGAGGAGGAAGAGAGGCGAGGAGAGGAAAGAGGACAGAAGAGGAGGAGGAGGAGGAAGGTGGGCAGGAGTAGTATCCAGATGGAGAGGGGGATGAAGAGGACGAGAGGTGGAAGTGCAGAGGGGGGTGGGAGACGTGGTGGAGGCTGTTGGAGGTGGGGGTCATAGCAGAACTGGTTTCTACCATCAGACCCACAGCACCTCCCGCCAGGCCACGGCAAACCACCGAGTCCTGGAGTGTGGAGGAGCCGTCTGTGTTCAGCCCAGGGAACAGGCTCTCCAGCCTCACCCCCATCCCCACACTGAGCCCCGTACTGAAGCCCGCACCAGCTGCAGGCAGGCCCGAGCCCAGCGGCTTAGTCCTGTCCTCCGTGCACAGTGGAGGGGGCCTGGGCTTGCGCGGGGAGGTCAGGATGCGTGCTGGGTTTGAGACCGGGGAGAGCAGGGTTTGGGGGTAACTGGCCTGGGGGTGGTAGGGAGAGTGCGGGAGGCCGAAGGAGCAGGAGGGAGGGAGAGGAGGAGCTGGATCGGTTTGGACAGGTAGGACCTGGGCTGTGGGGCGACTGGAGCCTGTGGGGCAGCTGGAGTTCAGGATGAAGAGGCAGGACCGGTCCTTCTCTGGACCCCCTCCTGCTGCGTCCGGACCTGACACACCTGGAAGACACATACATGGTGGTGGAGCTCATTTTAATCTCTATGTGTGTAGGACTGAATATCAGATAGAGGAAGGATCCTGCCTGACCTCACAGACAGCATAAATATGGTAGGTTCCAGTAAAAAGTACACAATATCAAAAATGTTTCTTTAAAAAGGTATTAATAATAATATTGCATTTTCTCATTAATTATTAAATTTATTGGGCTTGTACAGGACAAATTACACCCACCTGGCCCAAACCCAAATTATTAATATCAGACACAAACTGTTACATCATAAATGACTGCTCAAGACTTAAGATAAATGTATAAAATGTAAATTATATTCTGTTTTAATGAAGTCCATGAATTTGATTGATTTCATATAAACTCTGAAGATTTTACTTTTCATTTTGTTACAGGTCAAATGTGTAATGGCTTTAAAATGGAAGGACAAACTAATGGGATAAATAGAGGTATTGCTGATATTGTATGGAAGAAAAGAAGGGTATTTAGTATATATATAATTAGTAGTATATATAGTATAGTGTATATTGGATTGGTACATGGATGTATGGGATGATACGAACATTTTATGTCATGATAATCTTGGCTGCGATGCGCGATATTATCAGCATAATCATGAAATTTTCTTTTTTTAAATGGCAGCAAACATACTGGAATCACTTTACCTTACATTTAGTTAAGAAACACTTATATTTATTGCATCACAGATAGGCACCTAATCTCCCTGTCCCTGGAATTTATACCATTTCCATTTACAACAGGCAAGCCAGGGCTTTGTTAAAAAATAATAATAATCAGGAAATCAATATAGGGCTGCCATGTGAGGATATTCACCATTATCCCGATTCACAATGACCACAGTAATGGAAATTCACCAGTGTCATATATCATATATGGCCCCATCCCTAGGATATGTATGTATGTATAGTATAGTATAGTATTTCATAGTATTGTATAGTCTTCTATAGTACTGTATAGTATTGTATAGTATAGTATATATAGTGCTTACATTTTACAATTAGGTATTCAGTTTGTTGTTTTTTTACTTCCATAATAATGCAGAGGAAGTATCTAGCTACGACATGTGTGTGTTAACAACGTAGGGAGATTTCTGTTCAGTCCATACTGATGTCAATCTATTCTCATTACTTTGTACATGACTGCTGATACATCAATAAAGAATAAGCAAATAATACATTTGGGGAATATCATCATTGCCACTGTTGCTTTCAAAACGGCCTTCTTCATCATTATCATTCTGTGATGATTTCGGAGCCCTGCGAGAAATCTTACGCCTGTGAATGTCTCTGGTCCTGTCGAAGGTGGAGTCACAGCAGAGGGGTGTTCTGGGGGAGCAGGAAGAGCTGGAATAGCCTGAGGACGAGCTGCTGTCTGTTGAGACGGGGTGATGGTGCGGCACAGTGTCCACCTCCACTCGCAGCTCACCTGAAATACATTTCAATACACCACGGTTGTTGTAGTCTTTTTTAAACTGAGCATGGTAGCTGTTTCATATTCACTGTGACCACTGTTACATTCAAACACATTTTGGTCCTCTGGCAGTAAACATTTTTCCCTGTCTCACATCTAAACCATTTAAACTTATGTGACCCAAAGCAGCTTTGTTACCTGCAGTGGAGGTGGGATGTGTTGAGGGTCCCATGTGACTGGAAGGCATCACCCTGGCGATGCCACTGCAGGACCGCTTCTCCATCTTCATCTCCCTGCTGGGGACACACACAGGCAGAGAGGTTTGACGCATGTTGTGGTTCCTTCTGTTTTGGCATCATCACGTTTATATTTAGAAGCTATTTTTTAGCATAAATATAAGGCAGCAAATCATTTTATGGTCATTTTTAAAGCTAGATTTTTGCTGTTTTTAAAGGAATGTTCATGTGATGGATGGTGGATGGATCAAAAACGCTTTACTTCTAGACTGGAACAGAACATCCCAAATGCCATGAATTAATCATTTTAAAATCTCCTTAAAGTTATGTTAGAAACCTGTTGACCGGAGTTAAAAGGCAGCTTCTGTCCACCTATCGCCACCAGAGGGAGATATTGTCCACTCAACATATTCCTTAGCATCAGCATCCCAACTGCTCTTCTACTAAACATCTGCAAATCTGACGCATGGAAAACCACTGCAGGAACTTTCCATGTTCTGTGTCTTGTTTAAGCATGCTCATACACAAACACACACACGCTGCCACCTGCCTAATGGAAACCTGTTGATACTGGGCATGGAAACACCAAGATCAACAGATAATGAGAGCAGGTTCACATGTGAGGAACCCAGGTGTGTGTGTGGGTGGACGTGTTTGTGTAAGAGAGAGTGTAGGCGCATTTGCTTGCATGTCCATGTTTTTGTGTTTTTGCATGTGTTTCTGTTGGTTATCTCTTCATAAGTACATCTTATCTCTGCAGCCCACCTACAGCTGGTTAACCATTGACACTGTGTGGACCGTTACCGCTGAATATTTATTGTTTAAATCAGCAGCCGATCAGTCCATCTGTTAATCATTAATAGGACGAAGCGTCTGCTGCCTTCAGCATAGACTGCCACAAATATCTGCACTGTAAAGGGTACTGAAATGAATACAAGCCTCATTTTTAAGTCAGTAATTCTGTTAAATAACAGATAACATATACTAATGCTGCAACATATACAGCAACATATCTTCATTATGAGGACTGACTGAATACAATGTAAAATGAGTAGTTATTTTAACTGAAGCTCTGCCTTTGTATAACAACAGCATCACTTTCCAGTACTTCAGAGCCACACACAGCACCTACAACATTTGGGAATTTCGTATTGACAAAACCATTATGCAAACAGAACAAATTCAAGCCGTAACTTATATGCTAGTCAAGATTAGTGGACAGATTTGTAACTGCAGAATCTTTCTGAGTGATTTTGTGTGCCCTGAGTTCAAAATCTGCTCTCCTGATTTGTTCCAGATGTTCTGGCAGATTCTGAGCACGTGAGAGGATGCATGCTAAAGCCACTGAGATGTCACTCTAAAAGCAGGGTCTAACAGGCTCACACTTCACTTTCACATCAAATCCGAAAATGTTTTGCTCTCTGGAGTTTGCATACAAGGGAAACAATGAGCACCCTGTTTAAGAGACAAACCCATAACTGTGTTTAAAAGCTTTACTGGGTAAATTACTGAAGTACATATCCATTTTACTGACATTTTACTCCACTAGCTATAACTCTTGATTATAACTACCCTCATGGTTCCAGACACCCAAACAGAGCTGAGTAAAGCTGCCTTTCCTTTCACGCTTTGCACGCTTGGAATGAGCCGCAAGGCATACTTAACTTGGAATCTTTACCATCTCTCGACACGTTCAGGAATATTTTAAAATCATTGTTAACAGAAGTTACAGTTATTTAGTTTAACAAGTGCCATTATTTGATGATATTTTTTTAACCCCTGACCCTAGTATGTTTTGTATTTGTTGTGTTTTAGTTTGGTATGTTCTTGTCCCTGTCTGTACTTTTATAGGAAAGCTTTTTATTTTATTTTTTGCTGCCTTGACTCAGATAGAGGAGATATTGTTATCTCAAGGGGGGTTTTCTGGCTAAATAAAGGTTAAAGAAAAATAAAAAAAATTGTCCTCTCACACTTTTGAGGGTGTAACATAATGTAACTGTGTCTTGACAGTAAGCAAATCTGTTGTTCACCAAGAAATATTTACAACATGTAGCTACAATGACAGAACAAATCATATAAATTCACTTTATAGCTACATCTCTCATGTTTGTATATGGATCAAACAAATCAGATTAACCATGTTATTTATTTATGTGTGCTTTAGAAGTGCTGGCAGGCATATCTTTGAACTTTTGACAGAGCCAAGCTTGCCATTTGCCCCTAATTGCCTTCTGGCAAGTTTCCGACTTGACAAAAACAAAGTAAAAAATTATAAAAACACTGGATTAGTGATAGCTGCAGCTTACTCTACTGACTTTTGCAGCTCTAGTTGCGTCTTGAGTTTCTTCTTTGCTCCTTGGGTCAGGTCGTACTTGTTCAGGTCCTCCTCTGTCAGTGCTAAAAACTGTCGGTAACACAGAGGAACAGGTTGAAAACTGTATATGTATAAGAAAATGAGACTTATAGGTTTATTTGTAAGTGTAAAAAGCATACACAACCCACAACACTAGTTGTTTCCTGTGAGATATCTTGAATTAACATATTACAGGATAGAATGTAAAGCTGACTCACCTCCTCCATAGTGAGCTGTTTGAAGACAGGGTAATACTTGTGGAGCCGAAGCCTGCGGAGCCAGTCCAGGATGCCGTTCTGCTCTGGGGTGTTGGGCTGGGACTGGCATGGGCCCTGTGTATGGGACTGGGAACGGGACTGGGAATGGGACTGGGTGTATAAAAGGGACTGGGAATGTGAGTGGGATGTTGGCTGGGAATGGGACAGGTGCAGGGACTGAGGCTGTGCGGTGGACTGACTGCTGGTATGCGGATGAAGGTGGTGCTGGGAGTGCTGCTGGGGCTGAGAGTACGAGTGTGACTGACTGTGTTGGGGATGCGGCTGGGAGGAGAGATCACCTCCGACTGCCATGGAGCACTGGGTGGGCAGGGCCGGCACAGGGGGAGGGAGGGGGAGGAAATAGGAGAAGAGGTGGAGAAGGGAGGAGAGGTAGAAGAAGGCGGGAGTCAAAGACCAGGGCTCGTGGGTTGCTGACGACGGGGCTGGAC